TAAAAAATATAAATAAAAAAATTTACGAAAATATTTTCTGAATAAAATTTAGGCGAAAAACGAGTATTTACAATTTGTTTTTGTTTTTGTTTTTGATTTTGATTTTTGTTCAATAAATAATCTTACATACTAATGAAGTTTTTAATGAGTGAGACAGTTGAGTAATAACAAAAAATATAGAATAACATAATTAAAGCTAGAGCTTTATCACACTTCGTAGACGATTCACACAATTAAAAATAGTATTTTGTAGTTATAATAGTAGTTAAAGGTAGTAATGGTAAGTAAAAGCATAAAATCACGTTTTCGCGCCACACGCGCACACACACGCCTCCCGTCTCACGTCCGCCGTTCGTACTGCCATACTGCACCCAACACTTCCTTCGCGGCCTTCAACGCGTGGCATGCGGCACTTGAGTATTCTTATCATTATTATTTTCATTTATTTATTGTTCCGCTCAGCGCAGCTTAATGGCCTCTACGCCGACACAATGAACTCCTTGCCGGTCTTGAAGTCCGTGCACTTGAATTGCGCACAGCACTTGGGGAACGCCCAATTGGGATCGCTGGGTAACTCTTCACAGCCGGGCATCTCCACGTACGGGCAGGTCTCAATATTGATCGTCTGTCTGTGTATGTCGCATGTCATGACGGCGCAAATGCCTTTCGGCTTGTACTCCTTGTTCGGCAGCATAGCACGACGGGTGATCTTGTCGAAGCACTTGCCACGATGCGCTAAAAAGAGCAAAAAGAGAAAGCGGAAGTTAATAAATTGTTTTATTACGCATGCGATAAATATGCATATCGCGTATATAAATATATATATGTATATATGTAAAATATATATGCGTGTGTGTGAGTTTGCGTGTATTGATTGCATTGCGATTTATTGTACTTGCTGTATAGCTTTTGTTGCTGTTGCTGCCGGCTAAGCGCAGCTCAACGACGAGGAAGTAATTATAATATGAAAAGGCAACAACAATGACAACAACTAAAAGCAGTGAAAACGCGTGTAATGCTTAATGTTTTCGCGTGCGAATTTTGCATGCCAAGCAGCGGTTGTTTTTGTTGCGTTGTATGCAATGGGTGCTGTTGAAATATGACTGCTTATAACTACTTGTATGTGAATGTGTGCGTGTATATGCAAAATTGTATGCAGTTCTTTGAATGTTTGTGTGCCTGAGCAGGAAGTGCTTCCTTTGTGGCTTGTGCGCGCTTTTGTGGTGTAAAATAAAAGACTTAAACAACGAACTTGCCAACTGAAGGTTGCCGGCAATTGCAATTTAATGCGAACATATTTTTTTATACATTTTCAAATTGCAAATTTAATTAATTTTTTAATGTTCTGCCACGAATCGGTACTTTTGTGAAAAAAGCTTTACAAAAAAATTATAAAATATCATAATAATAATTTTTCATTTAAAGCACATTTTTAATTAATTGCGTTGCTTCTAATAGTCTGAATATTTTGTAATAGTTGCTTTTGTTTTATTTTCATATTTTTATTTATGCGTTCATCAACCTCAGCTTTATTTACTGAATTGTCTAGTTTTTGTTTTAAATGCTAAATTGCTTTTCATAAGCTATTCAATTTAATTAATACTCTCCAATTAATGGTATCTATTTTTTTATGCTTTAGTCTAACAAAAGATTTATGGCACGAACTTCTTTAAAATACAGCTGATTTATTAGACTTAAGACGTGAAAAAAAATCGATACATATTTACTTTTAAAACCATTAAATGTCAGTCTTTTAATTTTGTTTAAATAGTCAGCAATTTTTATAGAAACACTCATGAATGCATGAACTCATTAGAGTACATATAACAAAAAATTACTGATTACTCATTATAAGCAACAAAGTCATTAAAATCGACACAAAATTCATTAAGCAAAAGTGTCGAAATAGATTGCTACGACAGCGAGATTGACAGCACTATTAGAAAAAAATCAATTAATGAAATGAAAAATAAATTCAAGAAATGCAAAAAACGTGACACGACGTCTGCCATACTTGCCGTCTGAGTTCGGTGCTATTTTTATAATTTGCGCATGCGTAGAATGCTCAAGATTTGAAGTCAGTCATATAGATACTATATGTATGTATGTATATATATATACATATATATATATACATATAAATATACAGGAAGAAGTGCTTTGAAACAAAAGTTTTTTTCTCAAAATTAACACAAATGTGCTAAAACAATTTCAGGAATCT